AGAATAATAGGTTAACTAGTTTACTGATTCAGAAAAGTGAATTGTTCTTCTTTTCATCACTTCTTCTCTCAGGACCTTCTTACCATCCACCCCAAGTGTTGTCAGTTTGTGGTCAGTTTTTAGCATTAAACAGTGGAGCTGACCACAGATGATACCATTAAACAATGGAGAAAAATAATAATAATAATAATAATAAAGGCTATTTTTTCTAAATAAATTACTTATTCCCAGAGAAACTAGCTAAACTAGTACTTGCCTATACTGCCAGGGAGGAAATCTTGCCCTAATGACAAAGGGGCAGTGCTGTTGGTTGCACCTTCTAGTAAGAAGCCACACCTAAGAGTCCTAGAAAGGAGACTGTGTGCTTGCTATGAGCACAAAGGGGAAAAATACAAGAAGGTGCCAGCCCCAAGCAGCCTTTTCTAGTGGCAATGTGAAAATAAGCTGCTTTGGCTCTGCTGTGGTTTCCAGCAAGCTGTGGAGATCCCTGTTAGAGGGACTTTGTTGAGAGAGAATACAAATGCAGGAGATGGAAGGAACACAAAGACCCAGATTCATTGCAAGTGTAATTGTTGTAGATTTTGTGGTTAACAGCAAGGGGGAAAAAAGAAGCAAAGGATTTTTTTTTTAAGAAAAAAACTATTCTGAAGAGTTTTACAAGGGCTCTTTTGGGCAGTGAGCTTAGCACAGAAGTCAGTATGAGGAGTCTGGGTTTCTGGAGAGAAGATGTTAATATGTGGTAACACAAGGACTTGTCGTGCAGGATGGGTGCATGTGGAAACAAAACAGCAGTGTTTCTCCTCAGCTCAAAATGGAGCTGCTTAGCAAATCAGCTGCCTAATGCAAAAATACAAGCAGAAACCAGACACAGAGGTGAATTGCCTGAGGGGCTCACATATTTCAAAGCAGAGAAATGTAATGGTATCTTAAAGAGGTATAGACAAGCCAAGGAATACCTGTGGCATCTGATTACAATAATAGAAATTCTGCTGAAAGGCTTAGGAAGATTAACAATATTAACCTTGCTGTCTTATTTATCCCATCTTCTTTGATAGGCAAAGCCTCAGTAATCCAGTGACAGTGGCTCTAAGATTCTTCCTTGTCATTATTCTCACTTGCAAATAAGTTTTAGATATGATTTAGGTTAATGTCTTCACTGCACACAGTGACATACTTTTACTTTAGACAAAACTGAAATAGGAAACTTGAAAGAAGAAGGAACAGGTCAAGAGAGCAAAGGATGAATTACAGAGCTTGAAAAGTTCTGGGCCACGGTCAGACTATGACTGCAGAAATAACTGTGACATCCCAAAGCTCCTCAAGCCAAGGCTGTTTGCTTACACAGCTCAGCAGATGGAAAGGATTGGCTCAGACCCTGTTTACAACAAGGGCAAAGTGTGCAGGGAAAAAAGAAGCCTTAGCATTGCTTCCTAAAAGGAGGTCAGCAAACCATGAAGATACCCGAGCAGATTTGGGAGGTGTGATAATAAACATCTCTGCTCAGTCAACAAAAGAAAAAGCAAAGCCAAACAAAGGTGAGGTGATGGAGAGCAGCCTGCCTGTGACACACAGGGTTTTCTCTAGGCTCAGTTGTGTTTGGGTGGCAGGTTATGGACCAAGTCACAGAAACAGCAAGAGCAGCACATCACAGTGGAGGGGTAGCAGCACTTGCTTCTAAGGTGCCCACAGGTAAGACAACACAGGATTGCCCAGCACAAGGAATTCAGCAGTTTGTTCCTTTATTCTTAGACAAATATTCTCTTGGCTTGTTTTTTTTTTGTTTTGTTTTGTTTGTTGGGGATTTTTTTGGTGCAAGACTCTAACCTAGCTGAAATTTTGGTTTAAAACTCTTTGGGTGAACTTGCTTAAATCAGCTCACCCCTTTTAAGAATTGTAGAGTTCACAGCTTTGGTTCCAGAGAGGAGCAGTTGATGATGGTGTTTCAGAGTCCTCTGCCTTCAGGTCATTTAAGGAACTCTTGTTCTCCTGGCATCCTTTAGAGAGTAACTCACAGGAGACTCTATGCTGCAGCAAGCCCCAGTCTGCAGTTACCCCCATGTCAAATCTGAGTGGATTTAAATCCAGCTACTTGGATTTAAACTGGTAAAAAAAAAAAACAAAAAAAAAAATCAAAAAGCAGCTGCTTTATTTCTATATTTCCTGCCTTTTCACTACATTTGTAACTTTCCTATTACTATAAAGTATTTTTCTATGCTTAATATTCAGCTCTAAATGCTGAAGGATGCCAGACCACAAATCTGGACCCAGCAGCAGTCTGCCAAATTGCAGAGTGGAACAACATGTTTATGGAGATGTTGCAGTGACTGGCAAATCCACGTTGCTTAAAAAACATGAAGAATTATTACCCATGGCATCCTCCAACGTGTCCTGTGCTGAATGCTCTTGAGATGCTGCTTCATGGAGCCATGTGTGTGAGTTACAGGGACCAGGGCTGAGTTTCACCATTTTTGCTCAGACATCTGTTTGTGTGATGAGGCAGAAGGCACTGCTGGCCCTCTGTGGGTCTGTGGTAGCTGCATCTCCCTCATACCTGACACCCAACAACAAGACATCAGAGGATCAGACACGGGTGGCTTAGAAGATGACACAGTTTAGCAGGTAGCCTTTCATGGTGTTTCTGAGCCAAGTCCTGGGACCAGTCCAACAGGATCCCTGGGAATTGGGTGAGCATCTAGCCAGGTTGCAGGCTCTGATTGCATCATGCAGTGTTTTTAATAGGAGAGGAAGGGGAATACTTCTTTCTACACTGGTGGTCATTTCCAGGACCATCTTAGGACACTGGCAGAGCAAACAGGATAAATAAATAATGTGTTTCTTTGTACACTCCTTCAGTTTCTTGCTTCAGTATAGGTGTCTTACCATGTGCAGAATTCACTTCTCAGACCTTCATTAGGCCTGATGTTAAAACTGCAGCAAGGAAGCCCTGTGGAGAAATGCTGCCCCATGGATCACAGTGTTTGCCCTTTCCACCTTGAAAATAAACATTCCTTTTTGTTCTGCCTGTTAGCAGAAAGCATCCAAACAAGAACCAGAAAGTCAGGAATTGCTCTGAATGCTATGTCAGTAATGTAGAGATAGGTGCCATCCTGTGGCATAAACCATCTTCAGTTGAATGGCATCACACCAGAAAAACCCACAATTTGCAATCCCACTTCTGGACTCCACTAGAGCAGAGCAAGGAAGTGTAGAATGCTATAAAAAGATTGCTAAATAGGGGGAAGGAGGCTTAAAAAGTGTATTCATCAAATGTGGCAAGCAAAGTACATGTGGTGGGAAGTTTGCAGTTTGACTGCATGCTGAAGGTATTAGTTAGTATTTAAGGAGGACAAAACTTTGCTGTCACTCCTGCCTCAGAAGAATGTGCTGACAGCCTGCAGAAGCCAATATTTATCTCCCCATCAGATCTGAAGCCAACGTGTGTGTAGAGATTGCTGTAGGAGTTCAGCTGGGAGCCCAGCAAGACACCCTTGTGCTGCTGCTTGCTGATGAAACAACCCCCAGCATGCACACAGAATACATTTTAAATGCTCCTTTTTTAAACTGTGTATTTCCTTCGTCATCAACTGCCCTGTCAGGTCAGTCAGTTGTCAGAAGAAACTCTCTGAGGAGAGGGGGTGTCCAGCAGACTCCTTGTGCTCACTGACCTTGGGTTCACATGGTTTTGACCTTTTGGATGCATCCTTTCAAATTCAAGGTGTTTGGTAGCTCCCTACTCTGTGACACCAGAGCTAGAAAATAACCATGAGGTGAGAAGGTGTTCAGGATCTGATCTTGAGCCTTTGGAATCCATGGCAAGGCTCCTGGTGGGTTTCTTTTGTGAGGGTCTGAAGCTGTGATGCTGTTCTGCTTAGTGGCCTCCCTGGGGTCCTCTCCCACACCCTGCCCAGATGTCAGGAGCCCAATTTCAGCTTCAGGCCCTGCCTGAGCAGTGCTGCAAGATCTGGTCTGCAGCTCCACCACAGCCATAGGTCCTCTCGTTATGGACCCTGACCCACACATTGCCTCCATAGTGTGACTTTGGCCCAGCATCATCACCATGAACTTTCCTGGTGATCCTGGGCCCTTGGCTGAGCCTGGCTGCCCCCTGGCCTGTCCTGCTGCCTGGCTGGGGACATCAGACAAGCCCTCCCTGGAGAAGCCTTGCCCTGCCACCCCCCTGAGGACCCCACCACTCAGCCCTCAGGAGCCCTTCACCTGCTGCACCCCAGCACTAGAGCTCCTCCAGGTAAAACAAACCACAGAACTAGAGCCCTAAAAGACACAGCAAACTTCACCCTCACCCCTTCCTTCCTCATTCCCCAGCCCTCCTGTTGCTGAGGGAATGGCCACCAGCCATGTGAGGAGTGACAGAGGAGCAGATGCTGTGACAATCCCCCTTTCCTCATTAAACTCCCTTGCTTTCATTCCTTTGGCTTCCAGTCGGGTTGTCCATCCACAACAGGCCACACTGACAACTGACAGATGAGTGTCATCTCATATTTATAGGAGAAGTGTTGATTTTACTGCTGCATTACAAAGAATTTTTACTGCTCCAAATGAAAGGTGGTTTTCAACCCAGCACCAGAAGTGGAGTGGCATTCCCAGGGGTGCTTGCTCCTGGACTCCTCAGGAGCCTTACCCAGGGAACTCTCCTTATGTCCAGCTTAAAAAGCCCTCTCACAGACTGCTTACAGAATTTCTCCCTTGTAATAAAAGGTTAAATGTTACTCATTTCAGAATACATCATGTTTCTGTCATTAGCAGCATTTTAGTGCTCTTTCTTGGTTTTCCTCAAGGTATTTTGATTTGAAAGTTGTATTTTATTCTGATTTTCCAGCTTTGTGGCAAACTAGTCACAAGATCCACTAGCTAAAATAACTTTAATACTGAAATAACTTAATACTACAATAACTTCTACCCTGAAAACGAAGGGAAGAGCAGCTCCTTCAAACCCCTGTGACTCTCCTGTTATTCTCAGCATGCTGTTTGTATCCCCACAGGTGTAGTTCGCCAGGTGAGGCCCATTGTTGGACCTTTCCATGCCATCCTGAAGCTGGAGATGAACTATGTCATGGGGGGAGTGGTGTCCCACCGTAACATCGTCAACGTCCACATCTTCGTCTCTGAGTACTGGTTCTGAGAGGATGTTTAAAACCCCTGACCAACAAGCCACTCCCACCTAAGGCATTACCACCAACTATTATGTTATATACTTCTCTGTAAAACCCCAATAGTGTTTTGTTTGTTTGTTTGTTTCATTTTTAAATATTTGGTTTTCGTTTGGTTATATAGTTTTAAGACAAATAACGAGTTATTATGTTGATTAGACATAGGGTGGAGCAAATGAAATGAGCCTGATGTAGTTGTCTGTATAAATAAGTAGTGTGTAAAAGTGCTCAAGCTGCCTAGTGGAATTTAAAACTTTTCTAAATGTTTAGGCAGATTTTAAGTGTTGCTCCTTGGCCAGAGAACCAGAATGAGTGAGGATGTGGAAGGAAATAAATGGCAAGAGTTCATTGGGATGAATATCTTTGGATGGGAGATTTGGTAAGGATTAGTAATTTCACCTCCTACCTTTTAGGAGTCATTGTCAGAAGGTGCCAAATATTCACTCTGGGTCCCCAGTGGGGTAACTCTGATTGCTGATCATCTCTGAACAGTTTAGTCTGGATATTTAAAAAGTACCATCCAGCTATGGCTACAACAGGACCTGCAAAATGAATTAGAAACAGTAAGAGACTAACAAGCTATTGCACATATTAAAAAAATACTCCTTTTTTTTTTTTGTACTTGTTATTTGATTGTCAGATTATGTTTGATTCTAATGAAATAAATACCTCTCATTGAAATGAACCTGTTACAAGGATAAAGCATATTGCTTAAATTCCAATCTCATCTGTCCTCAGCAATAGGTGGGAAATGCAGACCTGTGTCTCCTGTCTCCTAGAGAGTAAAGCTCCATGCATTTAAAAATTGGTATTAAAATCAGCATGTTAAACTCTGCACTCTATGCACCAGTCCAAGGCATCTGGAATAACAGAAGAAACTCTCATCAATAAATGAATGTTTAATGTATTCTCTAGGCATCAAAGTAACATCTCTTTCTCATTACAGAACAGAAAAATCACTAGCTCCATGTTTCATTTGTTTTCTTTGTGAAGATATGAGGAAATAAAGGCAGTCAGATGGGAAATACTCAGAAGTATGCTATGGTTTCTGCTCACCTGAAAAATTATATGCTGTGTCTCTGATAAACACATGAATGATATCTATGTGTACACATTCCCCACTCAGGACAGTCTGGTATTGCACTGCTCACTCTTAGCACTAGGCATTTCTCTCTTCCTTTTATACAAAAGCCCCTGAAGTTTAAGGAAATCTTTCCATCAACCTGAACACCTCTAAATAAGGACTATAAAAATCATCTCCCCTGATGCACTGCAAACCAAACAGTGTAGCAGCTTTGCTGGGTACCTGCAGGTCTTCAACCCATTCTCTGCTGCAGGGAAGCTTCACTGCCTGCAGCATTCTCACTCCTGAAATTCAGATTTTATGATAACACATTCTCATAAATAAAATTTGACTAAAGGATAACCTCTTAACAGTATTTGTTCCCCCCCACACTTATCTAGGATCCCAACCCCATACAGAAACTCTTTTTTAGGATGGCATCAGCTTCAAATGTGTTCAGTGTAGTCAGTGACTACCTCTACAGTCCTTATGAGTTCAATAGTTACCATATTTGGACTAAAAAAGTCCAAACAAAGAGGATGAAAGACTCTTGCTATTGTTAAGTTATTTTTCTTGCCAGTGTAGGAAAATTAATTAGCCCCTACCAAGAATCCAAAAACTGTTTCTGTGTGATTCCCTAGACTGTAATTTTTGACCCTAGACTGTGATTTTTGACCCTTCATTTCCTTGCAGTGGAAAGACCTTTGGGATGGGAGGAATCTAATTTCAGGATCAAACTGATCAACAAACTCATTTACAAATTTCTCCTTTCTGCAAAGGAGAAGCCACACAGCAGCACAGACACACCCCTATCCCTTTCTGTCTGCATTTTTGGGTCAAAACCAGCAGTTATTTAAATACTCCTGATGTCATATGAGAACATGGATCTAATAGATGATTTTATGCTTCATGTTTAGAGTGTTTAGTGCTACGATCAGGGTGACATCTTAACTTCTAATAGATCACCATAGAAAAACTAGATAAGTCAGTAATGATAGGAAAGATTAAACATTCCTCTCATCCAACTCTCTGACAATAAAGTTTCATTTGTTACAAATGGCACCAAGTGAAACTATTCATCATTTTTATTGACAAACCTCAAGTGGGAGAATGTGTTTATGAACTTGCCACTGAGACCCACTCACTCTGAGGACTCTTCCTCTGCTCCCTTTGGATTGATTGGTTCCAAGTTCAAATAATTTTAATTGTGGAGAAACAGAATCACAAATAAATGAGGATTTAGAAGAAAACATCAAGTACAGGCAGCTGAGTGTTCATTAGGCTGCTTTTTAAGACTCAGTCCTACACAGAATGACATGTACCTTGGAAAAACAATCACACACCATTAAAAGAATGAGTAATAATGACACACAATTACCAGTACTATGTAGGATCAAATTACCTATCAAATAAACTACCTTATTTGACAGTAAATGAGTATGGAGAGATAAAAATCACCCAAATGAGCAGGTGCAAGTCAGATTCCAGCTGGGAGGAGCAGAGGGTCTCTCAGGTTGTTCTGCCAAAAGCCAGCACAGATGGGAAGACTTCTTGTGTGCTTCTAGGACAAGTTTTAGGGCAGAAAAATGGCCCCAGAGTTATTTCTAGTGGGATTAGGGCCGTTTAGACTGAGCATTCAGTGCACGTAGATGGTTCCAGGTCATCAGGAACGTGGCATTAGTCAGATAAAACAAACCAGGAATATTTCAGAGCAATTTGCTCAGAGGCTGATCTGCTTTCTCCCTCTTCAGTTTAAAAATAATTTTCTGAAGGGTCTGCAATTTAATAGCAGAAAGAGAAGGCAAAATAGCACAGTGTATGTAACCCTAGCATAGTTTTTCCTTTTACAGAGGGCCTGGGACAACAGAAATGAAGAACAAACAAGTTTGACCAGTGTTGAAATCAGTACATGCCACACGTGATAGCTGAATAAGCTGGGGCAGTGATGACAAAAGTCATTTCATGTTTTGGAGAGAACTGCTGTGTGCTTTTCCAGGGTAGCTGCCCAATGTATGGTAACCTGGAAGCTGCTGGTGGAGACACCTCCTGCCAGGAATGAGTGCCAGAAGTTATATAAATATGCTGTTTGTTCCACTGAAGACAGAAAACATGCTCTCCCCATCACTCAGTGTCATCTTGCTACCTTTATTTTTCAAATGAGTGGATTTTTGGTCTGTGAAAATGTTATTGCTGGAATGGAGAAGATGTTCATGCCATGACTGTGTTGCCTTTGTCTAACTCTACTGATGGCTCACCTCCCACATCTCTCATTCTTGACACTGGGGAGATCACTAGTGCAACAGGACAAGAAAACCACCCAGGGATGATGTCTGTGGGATGGGTTTTCCCAGGTAGGTATTCTTAGAAGTTAAACAGAGGCTCAATCAATCCCCTTTGGAAGCAGGTCTGTTACATACACGGTCATTTTAATGTCGTGTATATTCCAAACTTCCCAAGAAACTGCAGCTAAGTCTAACCTCTGTCCAGTGAGGAGTAACTGCTATTAACAGATGAGCTGGGGTAAGGTCATTCTGAGTTTTTCCTGTTAAATTCCAGGTTTAGAGGCAGTTGGGTGAACATTGCATCAGAAGTAAGGGTGATACACTTGGTCCCTGTTAAAAACACAGCCAGTTGATATCCTTTCTGAATAGAACCATAGAATCCTAGACTGGTTTAGGCTGGAAGGGATCTCTAGAGCTCATCTGGTCCAACCTCCCTACACAAGCAGGGACATCTCTACCTAGGTCAGGTCACCCAGGGCCCTGTCAAGCCTGAGCCTGAATGACTCCAGGGTTGGGGAGCATCGCTGAGACCCCCATGTCAGAGTTGGCCTGGAGCACCAGTAGCCAAGCCCCCAGGAGGAGTGGGGGGAAGCAGCTGCTGGGGGAGTTCCAGAGAAAGGCCATTACAGGTTGGCCATGCTAATGAGAGCTTGGGGGTGCATTCAGGGCTGGGGCAGGACGAGCACTACAAGGACTTTGAGAAAGGAACATCAACTACTTCCCCTTGCTGCCATGGGAATTGAAAACCTGTCAGCACAGGCCTCCCACAGCAGTGCCCAGGTCCTGCTGACAGCGTGTCCTCACGTGCCACATGATGTCCTGCTTGCTCCATGAACTCGTGCTACAATCAGGTTCCTTGTGTGTTAGAAGATTTTTGGGGTCTGCCTGTATTAAAGGGCAACCAGTGCTGGGTGCTGTCTGGGGCCCACACGATGTCCTGCTTGCTCCATGAACTCATGCTACAACCAGGTCCCTTGTGTGTTAGAAGACTTTTGGGGTCTGCCTGTATTAAAAGGCAACCAGTGCTGGGTGCTGTCTGGGGAAATGGGTCCAGAAGCACAAGAAAGGCTCCTCCCTGGAACTGGGCTTACTAGCTGAACTAGGTTGACTAAATGTCCTGTAGGTAGCTACAAACAACTTGGAAATGTTATGATTGTAGCATTGAGACATGCCCCAGCTCCTGCTGACATGTTTGGTAATGACAAGAACTGGGAGTAAAGGAGCTGGGCTGTTTGATGCTGCTCTGGCAACTGGGTGTGTCCTCCAGCCTCTCCATGCCTCCATCTTCACATCTGCCCGTGGCTCTAGTAACTTCATAGCCCACTGAGCTGCTGAACACAAGGAGACAGGAGCCATGACTTGCTCTGCTCTGCTCCAGTGATGTCATCTGGGCTGTGGGAGTTCCTCTAAGAGGAGAAAATCACCAGCCAGTGCATAGGATTCATGAAGTCCAGTGTGGGAGCTGGTGGTGTGCACAGTGTCTGAGATCCCACTAGGGCAGAGCATGATCACCCCTAGCTGAAGTCTGCCATTGCTATTGCTCTGCTGCAATTCCCTCATACCATTAAAATAGGTTTTAAATAAAGATTCTCATTAAAAAAACCCAGTAGCATCATATCTGACACCA